AGCAAAACTTGTGCCCATAACTGATGTTAATTCCACTGGCTAAATAATTGTTCATTTGCACATTAATTTTTGTAGTATGCAAAAGGTGCCAGTTTGGAAAAAACATGGTGATGGGATTTTGTCAGAAGTCTATGATTCCACATATTCCACTCATGTATTAATAGTAGTTCTACAAGATAATGCTGACAAAGTCTTATGTAGTATAAAATATACAGTGTTAAAATATAGGGATAGAAACGTAAGTGGAGATGGAGGTAGTAATATAATTGGAAGTGGTTAAAAATACAGTCACACAAAAAAGCAGATATCCTACTTTAATTATGGAAAATGGAATCATTTCTGTGGTATAAATACTCCCCATTTCAAACCACCAATGTTTTGACAGCTGTTTAGCAGAACTTCTAAAAATTTACAGCCAATCTTCAGTAATTGATAAGATCCAACTTCAACACACCACAAGGTAGAAAGAAGTCAGCTCCTTAAAGTTTCTTACACTCTCCTGGATACATTCAAATTAACCCTTTACTCTAGGATCTAATAAAAATGACAATTTGATGTCATCTCTACATAATCATTAAATGAATAGATAAATTTATACTGAGAAGCAAATAGATTGGAAATGGCATAAGAAATATTTAAGAAAAAGCACAAAGGAGACAAAATTGTGCAATTGTGGGATAAATAAAAAATGAGATCATAGATTCAGAAAAAGTATGTCAGTAATTGTATTAAATATAAAGTATTATGTGTCCCAACTAAATGCCAAAGTCACCGGGCTGGATATAATACAACCCTAACTATGTTACTATGTTCAACAAATAAATGTTAAAGAATGTAGAATGAAGGGCTGAGGATTTAGCTCAGTGGCACAAGCAGGTGCCTGACATCCATGAGATCATGAGTTTGATTCTCAGTACCAAAAATATAAATATTATAGAATGAATGATAGAAAAAGAGCCCACATAGTCTGGGAACCAGTACCAGGCACAGGCCGCCAACCGGACTGGAACAAACAGACCCAATACCTACCTCAAGAGCCTTTTATATCTAATAAAGTGGAAAACATAGAAGAAATGAACAGATTCCTAGATATATATGAATTACCAAAGCTGAATCAAGAAGTTATAAATATTCTAGCTCAATATCAGTCAATGAAATTGGAGATGTAATTAAAAATTTACCAACATAAAAACCCAGGTTATGATGGATTCACTACTGAATTCTACATAAATTTTAGAGAAAATCTAATGTCATTAGTTCTCAAAGTCTGTAATGAAATTGAAAGGGAAGCAATATTCCCAAACTCATTCCTGGAAGCGAGTGTTACCTTAATATCAAAACCAGGGCAAGATCCGAGTAAAAAAAGGAAATAGTGGCCAAGGTCTCTAATGAACATCCACCTAAAAATCTCCAGTAAGATGGTAGCAAAGAGAATGCAGCAAATCATTAAGAAGATTATATACCACAACCTAGGATGCAGGGGTGGTTCAACATATACAAATCAATAAATGTAATAACTATATCAACAGAGCCAAGGACAAAAAATCACATGATCATCAAATACAGAAAAAGCATTTGAAAAAGTGTAACACTTACTCATATTAAAATCTCTACAGCAAATAGAAATAGACGGTCTCTATCCCAATCTGATAAAAGCATCTATGAAAAACCAATAGTCAACATCATACAACCAGCTAAAAACTGGAAGCTTTTACTCCAAAATCAGGAACAAGACAAAATACTCTCTATTATTATCACTCCTATTCAATATAGTTCTGTAAACATTAGCCAGAGCAACTGGACAAAAGAAATAAAAGGGAATAAAGATAGGAAAGGAAAAAGATAAATTATCATTATTTGCAAATGTCATGATACTCTACCTAGAAGATCCCCCAAATTGCCATTAAAAGACTTCTAGTCTCAATAACCAAATTCAGCAACACAGCTGAATACGAAGTCAACACTCAAAAACCAAATACGGAAAAAGAATTAGATATACATGTTAGTGATGCATATATAACTTCAATGATTCATGACCAAAACACTTCACAGTATGGCGAATCTCTCTGGCAATGTAACTGGGTTTTGTGGTATGTTAATATCCAATTTGTCCCAGGCAATTCTACTGTCGCTTTTCAGTTGATATTGACAGGGTCACATAATCATCACTATTTCTTTGTAAGTCAAAACTCAGATTGCCTTTGAGACATTAATAGTGCTAGGGCACATTGCCAGAGAGCTCGATTGCTGGGCTAGCTACATTGCATCCTTCTTTCCCAAAATAGCCAAGGTGGTCAAATCTTGGGACTGTGGTAAAGGATTATAACTAGCTATCCCCAAAGTATATCACTGAAAAGCAGCTAAAGAGATCTCTCTATTACCATCATAGTCTTTAGATAGGAAATCTTTTAGAAACCTCAATGATACAAACAGCCCACTGCAACTCACGTGCCATAGGTTTGCCACTCTGCTTTAGGCTATAAACATCCACAAACAGTACAAAATAAAACAAAGCAACAACAACAATTAAAAAAATGAAAGAACAAAAGCAATACAAATGTTGTTGTAGTTAGGGTTTACAAAGGAACATATTTAATAGCAGATGCATAATTTATAGGATTATTTAATAATAATCACCCAAAAAGTCAAATACAAAAGAGTACAAGAGATCTATCCATGTACTAGAGACCCAAAGAATCCAGCTGAGGTCCTGGATCCCAAGGCAATGTCCTGAAGGAGTCCAGCTGAAGACCTAGAGCCCATGACAATGTCTCATACAAGTCTGTGAGATGGATCTGAACTGGGAAGGCCCAAAAGCCAGTGGTAGGTGCTAGAAAGTCTCTGTCAGCAGGATGAAGGATCTTTGCCAGCAAGCTGAGGGATCTGTACTAAAGCCAGGAAATGATGCTCAAGGTAAGAACCAAAGCTCCACTAAAAAGAACTGCAGCCATCCTCAGCAAAAGCAAGGACTCAAGCTCCTCCAAACATGATAACCGCTGAGTTCATATCAGGAAAACTAGAGGGATAAACTTCTCCAGAAGAATCGACAGGATACCATTTTCTCCTCCAGTTTTCCTTTTATGCTGTTGTCAAGAATCCTCAGGGAGACCTTCCACACAGAGAACCATGCTAGTTCAGTTCTGCTGGGAGTTACAAATTGACCATTAGATAATCCACCACAAATATGGAAAGAAAAAGCAACAAAATGCCTCTCAAAACCCCCAAATCTCTCGAAAATCAATCCGAGGGACATCAAGGGGCAGAATAACATAAAAGCCCCACTCCTGAATTACTCAAAAACATTTCAAAAGTTAGAAAACATGCTCAAAGAGAAACTCAGTGGGATTAGAGAAGAAGAAACTAGTGGAAGTAATAACCAAAAGGTTGCAGGAGCTCTCAGAAGACACTAATAGAAAAACCAAATGATTTAAATAAACAAGATGATACAAAATGTGAGGGACAAGTTAGTTTACCAGATAATTAAAGTACATAAAAGTTTATAATCAGAAATCCAAGAATTAAAAATTATATTGAAAGTACAGGCAGTAGGACAGGCCAATATGAGGGTAAAATGTCAGAATTAGAAGACAATGATGCCTTCAAAGACCAGCTACTCAAGGACACCTTAAAAATGACAAGATAAAATGAAAAATTGATCCAACAACTGATAGATGTTGCAAAGAAGACTAAGAATAATTGGAATAAGTGGAAAATCAGAAGACAATGCAAATGGCATAAAAACTCTGTTCACCGAAATAATGGTAGAAAGCTTCCCAAATATGGAAAGAAACATGCATGCAGATCACTGAGGCACGTGAGGCACCATATAGCCATGACCGAGGGAACCTCCCCCATGCTATGGTACACTCACTGGCTCAAAATCTTAATTACTGTTAGAGAAAAGCAACAAACTGCATACAAATGTAAGGCCATTAGAATCACAACAGACTTCTCTACACAAATCTTAGAGGCCAAGAAGGCTTGGAGTAAAGTGTTTCAGGCCCTAAGAGATAATAACTTTCAACCCCAACCTGTGTATCCTGCAAAACTTTCCCTTAAAGTTGATGGAGAAATAATGTATTTCCAAGATAAAGAGCACCTCGAGAAATTCATGACTAACAAGCCAGCATGACAAAAAACTTTCAAGGACATCCTAGAAAGAGACAATGAAGCCAACTATGTCAATAAATCAAAAAGAATGAATACATCTGGTGGGAAGAGCAGCTAAGCAAAAAAGGAAAAATGAGAAAATTAGCAACAGAAAAATAATGCAGTGACAGGAGTAAGTCATTAACAGTAATAATTCTCAATGTGGATGGTCTCAATTCCCCAATCAAAGGACACAGATTGGCAGAATAAATCAAGAAAGGAAACTTACAACATGCAGTGCACAAGAAATACATTTAATTCAAAAAGATGCTCACAGACTAAAAATCAAAAGATGGAAAACAATATTCCATGCAATGGGAACCTAGAAAAAAGCAGGAGTTGCTACCCTAATTTCAGACCAAGTGGATTTCAAGCTAAGACTTATCAGAAGACTCAGAGGTCACTACATATTAATTAAGGGAACAGTTCAACACCGGGTGCCCACATATCAGTGCACACAGCTTCATGAAACAAACACTAATGGACGTGAGAAATCAGATAAATAACAGTACAGTTGTAATGGAGGGTGTCAATACCCCAGTGTCACAAATGGACAGAACTAGACAAAAAAAAAAAAAAAAAAAAAAAAAAAAAAATATATATATATATATATATATATATATATCACAGTTGAACTAAACTTTTGAACAAATGGACTTAGTAGATACCTACAGGGTGTTCCATTCAACAACCCCAAAAGGCACATTCTACCCAGTATCATACGGGACAGTCTCCAAAATAGACCACACACTAGCAAATAAAGCATGCTTAAATAAATGTAGAAGGCGGGGCCGGCCAGGGAAAGTGAATGGTTTTACCCAGCGGGCCCACGCCACCCCAGCCAAGGCGTTCACATTCGCGGCCTTCTGCTCCATGCAGGCACTCCTGCTCACCGCCGCGCTCATCTTCTTCGCTATCTGGCACATTCTAGCATTTGATGAGCTGAAGACTGATTACAAGAATCCTATAGACCAGTGTAATACCCTGAATCCTCTGGTCCTCTCCGAGTACCTCATCCATGCTTTCTTCTGCACCATGTTCCTCTACGCTGCAAAGTGGCTCACGCTGGGCCTCAATATGTCCCTCTTGGCGTACCATATTTGGAGGTACATCAGTAGACCCGTGATGAGCGGACCTGGCCTCTACGACCCCACGACCATCATGAATGCAGACATCCTGGCGTACTGTCAGAAAGAAGGATGGTGCAAACTAGCTTTTTACCTCCTAGCACTTTTTTTGACTACCTATATGGCATGATCTATGTCTTGGTGAGCTCTTAGAACAACACACTGAAGAATCGGTCTGGTTAAGTGCATGCCGAAGCCACCACATGAAGGGATTCTATCGAGCAAGAGCCTGTTTCCAAGAGTCGTCTATGGAATCTGATCAGTTACTTTAAAAAATGCCTCCTTATTTTTTAAATGTTTCCACATTTTTTGCTTGTGGAAAGAACTGTTTTCATATGTTATACTTGGATAAAGAATTGAAGTGGAATTACGTATAAATGAATATGAAATGATTACCTCTGGTGTTAACAGGTGGACCTTACACTCCTTAAAGAACAGCCATAATCTTTTGAACGAGCACATTAATAACTGACCGTCCTCAATCCGTTGGAAGCTTTTGTTTATAGGAACCCGTAGGGAGGGCTCATTTTGGGTTATTGAAATGCCATCTTATTATAAATTAGTTGTAGATAATCAGGTGCTTCTGATGAAGTGATAATGTGTATCTGACTCGTAGGAAATTTGCTAGGTTTCCTCCTTTATCATGTAGATGATTATATCTGGACACATTTACAAAAACAAGCAGAGTGGGAATTTTCCCCTTTGACTTCAATATTATCCCTGTATAGTGCATGAATGAGAAATTTCCCTTGTTTCCATCAGAGTAATATATTTGCTTTAATTGTTAAGCATAAGTGAACATGATATAAAAATATAAGCTGCCTTACTTGCGAAGAATGCATTTAAAGCTATTTTAAATGTGTCTTTATTTGTAAGACATTACTTATTAGGAATCTGGTTATAGTATATTTACTGTTCTAATCTGGTACAAAAGCTAATTCTTAAGAATTTGCAAGTACTTTTAGATTTTCAAAACTGAATGAGAGAGAAAATTGTGTAACCATCCTGCTGTTCCTTTAGTACAATACAATAAAACTGAAATTAAGACTCATTTTGTCTTAAAGATCACATGTAGCTATTTCTCACACTTGCCTAATCCCCCAATAAAGACATGGTATTGAGTGGTTTTATTTTTAAAATAAATAAATAAATATAGAAGAATTTAAATTACCTCATGAATATTATCAGATCATAGTGTAATAAAATTAGAAATCAATGACAAAAGAAACCACACAAACTATGCAAACACACAGAAATTAAATAATACCCTTTTTAATATCAATGGGTGGCAGATGAAGTTAAAGAAAAAACTAGACAGTTTCTATAAGTGATAAAGCCAGTATGACATACCAGAAGCTCTGAGATGCAATGAAAGCAGTCAAAGAGGGAAGTTATTAGCAGTGAACTCCCACATCAGAAAAAAAAAGAATGCACTCAAATAAATCACCTGATGATGTACATTAAGGTCCTAGCAAAACACGAACAATCCAAACCCAAAGCTACTGTAAGGAAAGAAGTTATAAAGATCAGGGCATAAATTTAGGAAATTGAGATTGAAAAAAACAGAATCAATGAATCAAAAAGTTATTTATTTCAAAGATTAATCAAAATAAACAAAACCTTTGCTCTCTTACTAAAATAAGGAAAGAAAAGACTCAAACCCAGGCAATTAGGAATGAAAAATATAAACTCACAATGGATTTTGCTGAGATCCAGAGAATTAGTAGTAACTACTTTGAGAACATGTACCTAAAAAAATGGAACATTCAGAGATGGACAAATTCCCAGAGGTACCAGAGCTGAACTAAGACAGCATAAAAGTCCTGAATGAGCCAATAGCAGCCAGAGAAATTAAAACAGTAACTCTTTTAAAAACTACCAAGAAACACCCAGGTCCTGAAGGATTCATTGCTAAATTCTACAAGAATAAAGAATATCTAATGCCAGTAATAAAGAATAATTTAAAGAATATCTAATGCCAGTACTCCTCAAACTCTTTAATGAAATTGAAAAGAAAGAAATATTCCCAAAATCATCCCTGGAAGTAACCTTTATCCTGTTTCCAAAACCAGAAAAAGACCCAACCAGAAATGAAAACTAAAGCTCAATCTCTTTAATTAATACAGATGCAAAAGTCCTTAGTAAGATACTACAAACAGAATGCAGCAAATCACTAGAAAGATCATGCATCATAACAAAGTAGGATCAATTTCAGGAATTGCTCAACATACACAAATCAATAAATTTAATACACCAAATAAACAGAAGCAAGGACAAAAATAGAATGATCATCTCAATAGATGCAGAAAAAATACTTGACAAAATCTAATATCCATTCATGACAAAACACTAGGAATAAAATTTCTTCATCTCAACCTTGTGAAAGCTATTGATTACAAACCAGTGGCTAATATCACATTAAATGGAGAGAAGCTCAAAGCTATCCCTCTAAAATCAGGAACAAAGTAAGGAGGTCCACCACCACCACTTCTGTTTAATATAGTTCTCCAACTATTAGCTAGAGCAATAAAATAAGAGAAAGAAGTAAGGGACCCATGGATAGGGAAGGAAAAACTTAAATTATCATTATTTCCTAATGACATGATCCTCCAAATAGAAGACTCCAACAACTTCACCAGAAGACTCCTAGAACTAATATTCAAATTTGATTGTCTAACAGGATATGAAGTCATAGTCCCAAAATTAGTAGCATTCTTGTATACCAATAACAAACTCCCTGAAAGATAAATCAAGGAAACAACATCATTCACAATATCACCAAAATGAAATACTGAGGAATTAATATAAGCAAAGAAGTGAAAGACTTCTATAATGGCAATTATAGTACTCTGAAAAGTGAGATTAAACAGAATATCAGAAAACAGAAAGGATATCCTGTTCCTGGATAAGCAGAAGCAATTTAGTCAAAATGACCACACTACCAAGACTGTTACATAGATTTAGTGCAATCTCAATCATAATAGCAATCACATTCCTTCAGAACTTGAGAAAGCAATCCTGAAAGGCATATGGAGCAAGAAGGAAAAAAGAATAGCAAAAGTAGTGTTAAGAAACAAAGGCAAAATAGGAGGCATCACAATCCCAGGCTTCAAAACTACATTGATAAAAACAGCATGATATGGACAAAAAACAAAACAGAGAAACAGACTCGTGGATCAATGGAACAGAGTAGAAGATACAGAAGTACCAGAAGTAACTCTAGGTATACTCAGCTATATTATTTGTGACAAAGGGGCCAATTCCTACACTGCAGGAAAGATAGCCTCTTTAACAAATGATGCTGGGAAAACTGGTTATTCACCTGCTCAAGGCTGACCCTAGATCCATGTCCCTCACCGTGCATTAAACTAAAATCAAAATAGATCAAAGATATGAATGTTAGAACAGAAACAATTTTCTAGAAGATAAAATAGTAAAACTCATGATGGTATACTTGTAAACTAAGACTTTCTGGGCAAAACCCCAGTTACACAAAAAATAATACCAAGAGTCAACAAATGGGATCACATCAAATTAAAAAATAACTGCATAGCAAAGAAAACTACTAACAGAATGAAGAGACAACCTCCAGAATGGAAAAAAAATTGCTAGCTACTCCTCAGAAGACTAATGTCTAGAATATATGAAGAACTCAAATAAACCCCCAAATTTAAAGAACTAATTAAAAATGGGCTGAAATGAATAAACCCGTCTCATGTGAAGAAATACAAATGGCCAATAAATACATGAAACAATGTTCAACACCACTGGTCATTAAAGAAATGCAAATAAAAACACTAAGATTCCATCTTACTCCCAAAAGAATGCCTATCATCAGAAACTGACTAATAACAAATCCTGCCAAGGCTGTGGGGAGAAAAGAACACTTCTCCATTGTTAGTGGGACTATAATCTGATACAACCACTATGGAAGTCAGTATGGAAATTCCTCAAAAATCTAAAAGTAGAAATTCCACTTGACCCAGCTAATCCCCTTTTAGGTATTTTTCCAAAAGAGTTAAAGACATTGCATCATAGTAACGTATGTATGCCCATGTTTATAGCCATGCAATTTGTAATATATAAATAATAGGTAAATCTTAGAAACAGCCCGTATGCCCATTAACAGTTGAATAGATTAAAAATGTGGTATTTTATACACAATGAAGTGGTAGACTGCCATTAAAAGGATAAACTTGAGTCAATTGCAGTCAATTGGATACAACTCCTCTAACATTCTATGAAGCCATCCATCACTGAGACGTCAAAATCAAAGACAATGCAAGAATGTAACACTGCAGACTAACACCTCTGATTCCTCAACTAAATATCAGCAAATCAAATCCAACATTGGTTTGTTCCTATCTTAGTAGGAACATTTTAAGTTTCTAATCACCAAGTATGACAGTAGTTGTTAAAGGTTTGTAGATGTTCTTCAAGCTGAGGAAGTTAAACTATACCAGCTATTGAGAGTCTTCATCATGCCCAGGCGATTTTGTCAAATGGTCTTTTCTATTTCTTTTGATATGATCTTGCAGTTTTTCTTTAGTCTGTTGATACTATGTATTAAATAAATTGATTCATCAATGTTGAGGCAGACTTGTGTATCTGTAATAAAATCTACTTGGCCATGATAATGTCATACTTGGTGATTAGAAATTTAAAATGTTCCTGCTAAGACAGGTACAAGACAAGGATGTTGTTTCTTGTCACTTCAGTACTGTATGGAAGCCTTCGATAATGCAATAAGAAAATCAAATAAAAACTATGCTGATTAGAAAGGATGAAATAAAACTGCCTTTGTTCACAGAGAGCATGACCATCCCATGTACAATGTGAAAGAATCACCAAAAAATTCCTGGACCTAATAGGTCACTATAGCAAGACTGTATGATATAAAGTCAATATATTATAAATTATTATCTTCTTTTGAAGTCCTGTAATGTTTCCAATGTTTAGGTTTTATTGGTCTTGTTCTGTACTGTTTTGTTCAATTTTATTATACCTAATGATATAGGCAATTCTTTTTAAGGTATTTAAAGGTATTTAACATATTTAAAAATACCTTTCTAAGGTATTTCTTTTTTAAGCAAGAGGCATTATGGTAATCATTGTTGATTACCTTGTATTCTCTTTTTACATCATGTGCTATGTCTATCCTTTGTTTTGACTGACTGCTTTGTTTTGTCATATTTGGTTTTATTCTCTTCCCAAAAAAAGTAATAAAAAAGAGAGGGGAAAAAACTGCTCTAAAGGATACAACTGCAAGTGTGTTTAGGTGTGTTAGAATAGATGACCATATTGCTGAGTTTTTGTTGGATCATTGAGCACAGCTGTTTGCAGTCTCACTCTTTAAATGCTTTGGTCCTGTAGCTTGAAAAGCTATTTCTGGGATGACGGTGTGTAGTCTGTTGACTGGTGATTTCTTGCTGTTTTTTTTTTTAAATTCTGTATTACTTGTACACTTATAATGTTTTGT